CTGCTGTATCAGCATATATTTTGTTTGTGCTGCTTCTTCATTTCATTGTGGGCTCCCTGTGTGGCACTGAGAAAGAATGGGCATGTCTTCTCACCCAGCTGCTCTGTAACATTTTCTATACCTCAGCCAATGAAGTACCACTTTTTTTTTTTTTTTTTGCTTTTCTTCATTTCCCCTCTTCCTCATAATTCTGAGGAGATGTTAACAAGAAGCCACACTGCTTTCGCAGGTTAGGCACATGCTACATTTATAAACTGGCAGCAGAGTGTTTTCAGTTCTCTTTCAACCTCCCTTCAATAGATTCCGACCACTCCATTTGCCTTTTAATAAATAAGGAGGTGAAATCTTCCCCCAAAAGTACAGACACCTCAACTGTGTGACTACAGTTACCTCAAAACCTTGCCATATATCTGAGTAGCTTCGTGACAGTACATTTTTATTTCTTGTGAGCCACTGTGCTTCACAATCTGATGAGGTTAAAGACACCAGAAGTTTGGCATGTCCCTTCAGTAGTACTTGTCATACTCATCAGGTTGACACTTTTAATGCAGAAGGAGAATATTCCATGCAGACAGCAGGCTTTTCTTCTGTCTTTTTTTTTCTTCTGTTTTGTTTTTTTTTTTTCACTGGTGTCACAGTGAACATCAGGGGCTGGAACCTGGGCCACATGATTTCATAGTCAGTCAGGACTTTGTATCACCCTAGTGCACTTCCATTTTGTCCACTTGGGCTGGGACCAGTTGGCTGTTCATACCAGGCTTTCATTCTTTTGGCTGTTCTGGGATTCTTTCAGCTGTCTTGTAGTGGGAGAAATATCTCCTTCGCTACAGCAGTCTGAAGTTTGCTGTCCAAGGCCATGAGCCAACTTCCCATCTCTTGTAACTTAAATGAGTTTAGACATAATCAGGCTTGTTGAAAGTCAGGATGATTCACCTCATATACTTCTTCTATGCTTTGATAACAATCTACTGATTTCCATAACAGTGATTTTCCCAGCTTTATCACAGTACTGTTACAGTTTGAATGGGCATTTCTGTGGGAGTCAGTTGAAGGTTAAAACACCCAACTTGGGTGATCTAGGTGATCTTGATTCATTTCCCTAAACATAGATATCTAGTGCCACTTGAGAAGCTATAGAGTATCTGAGGCATCCACATAGGTCTACCAGATATAATACAGGATCTACAGAAGATTCCCACCTTCTGACTGGGAAGTGGGAAGCCAAGTGGGATACAGTGTGGCTTCTTAAATGGCACAAGCTCTCTATGTCACTAATTCAAGCCAGTCAATACAATCTTTTTCTCATCAGCTTAGCCTACAATAGACACCTCCATTTGCTCACCTGAACAGCTCTAGTCTTCAATGGTAGTATGGACTGGCTCTCCACTGACTATAATGGATACCTAGACACTCTGCTCACATGTAGACACCTACAAATACCTGAATTTGTGAGCAAAATCTTCCCTGTAGCCATACGTGCACATCTAATGTGCAACTTCCACTTGACTGGCTAAACCATGTCAACTCCCTAACTACTTCTTTGAGATATAATATATGTCTAAAACCCCCAAATATTGCAGCATTGTCTACTTCAAAACTGTGAAAGGACTCTGGACTCATCTTAAGGTACTTTGGGAATGTTTCTGAAGTATTATAAAGGTTTTAAAGGATGGAATTCCTGCTCCGTTCTAGCTCCAGCTCTGCACAGATTAGAAACAAGTAGCAAATTCAGTGAATTTTCAGAGCTTTCTGGGTTTGTAATCATATTGTCCAGAAAAAAAATTGCATCTTATAGTATACTATTATAAAAGCTCTCCCTTGTGACAGTGCCTATCCTCCCTAGATCTCCACATATTCACAAAGCATCCTAAAAAGAGCTTATGTTTCCCAGGTCACATCCTGAAGGCCACATCACATCACACTGCAGAAGCTTGAAATAATGCTGTGTCTTGCCCCCTTGTGAAGTGAGAGGCCTGTACGGGCTACATTGCCAGCTGAGGCATATATGAAGGCCTTGGTTGTTAGCATAGCAAAAGTGTGTTTTCTTATTGTAAACTTCCATGTCTAAGCAGTGAAAGCCATACTGATTTACTGCTCAGTTAGATTTGCAGTACATTGTTTTCCTGCATTATCTGCTATGAAAAAGCCTGTATTTCTTAGTGCATGTGAACAGCATCACATCAGAAGTACAGAAGTACCGAAATATCATTTGCATTCTCCTGACATCAGTCGCTCTCAGAGGGGCATCCCTGCTAGAAGTGGTGATGAAGGTAATGCCACTCAATCCACCTGAGGTACCAGGACTCTTAGTGAGATCCACAGCAGATTTTGCTCTAAAAGAGGAAAATAGCCTGTAAGTAGTAGTCCTTCAGTAGCCTGAAATCTTTATAAATATCACTGAAGCCTTGTTGAATTATTGTCTCTTCAGTGAGTCCAATATTCCTGTCTCTGTGATAGATGGGCTGATGACTTGCTATCTCAGAATGTTTTAAATACTTCAGGTTTTCCAGTTATGACAGGGTTGGGTTCTTTAAATGCATGTAATAGTCTTTAACAGTTATTCATCCCAGTGGCAAGTCTGGTCTGAATGATGACACAAGCAAAAAGGCTAGAAAATCCATTAATTTAGAGCTTTAATAACGCTGTGATCTCAGCTGCATCTCTACCATTTCATATTTGATACAGATACCACTGGGTACTTACAAACTTCCAATAGCTGCCTGTAGTCGAGCTCAAAACAATATGGATTGCAGATGGAAGTTATCAAAGTTTCTGTCTTTTTGTCAGTGTTCTATCTGTGAAGTTTGGCAAATGAAACAGAAAAGAATTTTTTCTGTGCAATGCCCCTTGCCTCCCTTGATTTAAACAAACATGTCCTTATTACTTAAGAGTGTTTCTCTTCCTATAAGCTCTTTTACCGCAGATCAGAGGAGTTACACAGCTGTGCTGCTTGAATAGATCTCATGTTCTAGTGGAGAAGGCAGTGCCTCCAGCACTCTAACTGAAGATGGCACCTTGGTAATACAAGATATCACCATAATAGGTCGTGGTCCTGATTTTGCAGTGATTTGGTCTGACAGTTTAGCGGTGGGATCACTGAAGGGAAAAAGTGAAGCTATTAAATTGCAGTCCATGCTAAGTATTTCAAATGGGATGAGTTTATTTCCTTATGCTTTGGAGCAGGCATTTGACCTGGGAACACAAACACCTCCCTTTCCCTCATTTCCACAACACACAATGTTTCACACTGGACTATCTTTGCTGGCTGCAGTGAGGATTAAGCCTATGGGCCAGGTCTTGAGAGAGTGTGTATCATTCGGGCCCCTCTACTGGAGATACGATCCTTCAGATTTTAAATATTAATGTCTTTCCAAGCAAATATATTATACACAAGTTATTTCAGTGAACCTAAGAAGAAGCAGCAGTTTAGATACAAAGTTGACTTTTTTTTGTATTTTATTGCTTCTGAAAAGTTCTGAAGCTGTTTTGAACAAACTGTGTGTGCCATGAATGGGCATGAGAGGCCGTTGGCACTTGACTCATATTAATTTGTCTAGAGACTTTATGGAAAAAAACATTGTATTTTTGGACACAGATAAAATCTGCCAGCACTAGAGGGCAAAAATATGCAAATTTCATTTAATCTGAGTGGTAAAGAGCATCTCTGGACTTCCAAGAAAATTTAGGATGACAGGTTTCTGAGAATTTAAGAAGTTATGAAAAATGGCATAATGAAAAATATGTATGCATTCACATTAAATGCCACTTAAAAAGAATGAATGTAGGTTGTGAGCTTCTTTTTCAGTGACTGCAAAAATCAAGATGCTCCTCAAAATTTTTTCTATCAACTCACAGATCACAAGACTGAATTTAATTTCACAAAACACTGTTTTTTTTTTAAAAAAAAAAGTTCAAGATGGAGTTTTTTGGAGCAAGGATAGATACAATGGCTTGAAACTGCACTGAAGAGAATACATTTCCACAAAATTCCTGTTGGACAGATTTTATTGCAGTTCACTAAAAAATCTTTAGGTTTTTTTACTTGATGAAATTTATTCTACCTAGATCAGTTTGCTTATAACAAGATAATAATGTATAATCAGGGATATGCTTTCATGATATCTCATCCTTATGTAACTTTGGATGAGAGTATAGATCCACAGAAACCACTAAATCGTCTCTTCAGCCTCTGTAGTACAAGCAGATGAATTCAATCCAGTGACTGAGCTTGATAACATGTGTTTAATTAAAGCCTGTCTT